CATTCGGAAGGGTTCATTCTTCACAAAAGCATAACATTGCTGCAGAATGTATTCAGCAAAATACTAGAATCACTCAGCTGAGGCCGGAAGAAAAGGTCAAAGGGATAAAATAAATTTGAGGAGAAGATGGAGGTACCCATCAAGGCGCACTTGGGATGTCTCGTTGACCTTTATGTGCCAGGCAACGCTGTTTCTAACATTTCAAAGTGATGCTGATTTTTTAAAATTTACATTTATTAAAAAAAAAAAACAACCAACAGTGTATGTATAGTATCAGGTGTGAGCTCAAGGAATTTGGAATTTAACATGAGTGACCAACTTCTATATCTTCCTCTGCTTCTCTGGATAGTAAAAGTAGTTAACAATTATGCATCATGAGCTAGAGTCTTTATGACCCTTTATTCATACACACATTCACTCCTCTTTTTAAAAATTTATTTATTTTTAATTGAGGGGTAATTGCTTTGAAATAGTGTGTTGGTTTCTGCCCTACATCGACATGCATCAGCCATAGGGATACATATGTCTTCTCCCTCTTGAACCTCCTTCCCATCTCCAACCTCATCCCCGCCTCTAGGTTTTCACAGAGACATTCACTCCTTTTAACCACTATGAAGTGAAATCTAGCTTGCATCATTTTCATTTTACAGATAATAACAGATAGGAAAGGAAACAATTATAGATAACCTTGGTAGATCATCAGTAATAATTAAATTATCATAAATGCAATGGTAAAGAGGGCTTGGAAAATTATGATAGAACCATGAAGGGAGCAATCCGTGTGAGCCAGAGTCAGGTACTGTATCAGATGTGTATCCATGATAAAAACTGCATTCTGCATGACTAGGAACAACAGTGCAGGATGTTTGATAACTATGCAAATAGACATCCGAATAGACAGCCGCAGACATGAGTTTGAGGAGGGAGACCAGAGGCTGGAATGATAAGGAGTATGAATTCAGTTGCTATCCACCATGAAGCTTCTAGTCCTGTTGGGAAGCTTAAATCAGTGGGAAATATCAATTTCACAGAAATTAAATTAAAAGAACATCTCCACCCCTCAGCTCTATTCCTACACTCCCTTCTCTCCACACACAGTCACAGCCTTTCCAACTGCTTGAAAGGCACAGGGGACCCTCTACCTGCCACCTTGGGAACCACACTCGATGAATCCTCTTTTCCCTTTGATACCTGCAAAACGCTTCCTCCCCCTGATCCTTATATCTTACTATATGAATGTGCAGTTTTCTTCCACGGAAGGAAGTCTTTTCTCTTACTGTATATCCCCATCTGGCTAAGGCCTTTTTCTTTCCTTTCTCAGCCAAGACTCCAGAAAGGAAAAAACCCTACCTCTCTGTTTCTCCTTCGCTGACATTTAGGTGATTTTCTTTCTTCCTTCTTTCTCTCCACGCTTCTTGAACTAGCTGGTTCCATGTACTGGTTGGGCAACTGCACTCCTATATTCGAGGCCATAGGTTCAATACCTGTTTATTTTCTCACCTGGGCAAGACATTTACACCTTTCAGGCATCCACGGACACATGAGTCTGTGCCCAAATTCTTTAAGTCAACCTGGCTTGTGACATTTGTATACATTTCAGCATCTAGCAAAATTCATGCCCACTGTGGAGTGTCTTTCTATTGAATGAATATTCCACAATTCATTTGTCCATACTCTTGTCAATGCTTCTTTGGTTGGCTTTATTAATGATTTGTTTTGCTACTACAAATGTTGCTGCTATAACTCTCATGCATGTTTATTCAGGTATAAATGTGGAAATGTTACCATTGGGTAGTGTACTCTGCCTGGAAATTTGCATCTTTGGCCACTAGACTTTAATAATGATTTTAAAGGAACTCCTAGAGTCATTGTAACAAATTTTTCCCCATGATCACTGTACATGAGCTCCTCTTGCATCACCACCCTTTGCCAAATATGGAAAAGTAAACACAACTAATTTTTCCTGAACATGTGTGTGTGAAACGATGTCCCCAAGCTTCAGTTTGTAATTCCAAAAGAACTGTGCATGCATGCTGTTTTCTCAGACTCTTTGCGACCTCATGGACTGTAGCCCACCAGGTTCCTATGTCCATGGGATTTCTCAGGCAAGAATACTAGATTAGGTTGCCATTTCCTTCTCCAGGGGATCTTCCCCATCCAGGGATCAAAGCCATGTCTTCTGCATCTCCTGCACTGGTAGGTGGATTCTTTTCCACTGAGCCACCAAAGAAGCCAAAAGAATTGGAATACCAACTAAATTTGTCATTAAAGGGGAGAAAGTTGTTTCATGTGGTATATACTTGAACTACAACTTTGTTTCATGGTCAGATAGCTTCTGTTCGAGAGGAGCCATGGAGGAAAATGAGAAGTGGAAATAGAGGAGGCACAGACTCCAACCATTCAGCTGCATCCTGTTTCTGTCATCCAGTGTTTAGAGACACCAGTGTGATGCTGTTGGGAGCATCACACACTATAAAAAAATTGAGTGAAAGGTGAAGTATCATTTTCCTCTCCTTGATAAAAAACACTTCAAGAACATAAATCCCAGCTGAAGGCCAAACGGGAGAGATAATGGTATTTGCCACAAATAGAGAAGGGGAAGGATGATATGCTTCTGATTTCATTTAGCATCCAGGGTGATTGTTCTGTAACTTTAGTGTGTGCGGTCTTTCTAATAAGTCTATCAGGGTAGGTGATAAAAGGCTTGCAAGCAGCAAATAGGAAGATTAGCTGGATCAGAAAGTCCTCATAGTTATTAGGTAACAGACAAGATGCACCCAGTGACCCCAATTCTGTGAGAAGATATGCATAGGAATAAAAGTACATGAATGAAATTCTAGAAAAAAACACCCGAACATTTTTGAGAGATAGATGTCATTTCTGAATCGTGGAGTTACACATGATTTTTCTCATTTGTATTTTTCTGTCTTTAAGATTCCCTGGGATGGACAGTTATAACACTTTAAGAAGATAAATTGCCAAAAATATGAATATCTGAAGCCAACAAAAGAGCTGTTGAACCCTGGTGGCCAGCAGACCTAATGCCTCTAGCTCCACAGCTAGATTTGGGGTGTTGGGAAGAGACCCAGGGGAGGGAGAAAGGTTCAGGAACAGAGCAGAGCACCTGCATATTTATGCAGGACTGTTAGTGTGTGTGTGTGTGTGTGTGTGTGTGTGTGTGTGTGTGTGTGTATGTGTGTGTGATGCATACCACTACAATAACAATGATTATGGAAGGAGGTGCATTTATGGGAGGTTGTTATTTTGTGCTATTTATTTTTCCTACTTTAAGAGTTCCTTTCCAGGGGGCTTCCCTGGTAGTCCAATGGTTAAAAACTCTGCACTTCCACTCCAGGGGTCATGGGTTCGATCCTTGGTTAGTGAACTGAGATTCCCACATGCCCACATGCCACCCAATGTGACAAAGAAGAAAAAGCACTTCACTCTTAAGATGAAAACGATTTCAATATAAAGCTGTTTTTTAGATAAAAGAGTCTCCCTCCACAAATCAGTGATGCTTCTGGTGGTGATGGTGGTGTCTACTCAGCCTTGGAAATCATGTATACAACATAGACTTAGGAGCATTTCAACAGTCTCCACAACCAGCCCCAGTGCATGCATCCATCTTGGAGCAACATGGGCAATCACTACAATTACCAGAACTGTTTAATCAGCCATGGAAGAATCTGGTTGATTTTTAGATTACAAAGGGCAAGGAGCTCTCTGATATTCAAGAAGATAAGTTTCACAGTTGAAGCTTATAATCAATTCAAAATGTATTAGATGACAAAAAAGATAAATACACAAAGATGCTTCTCTGCATCATTTATTCATTCATGCGTCGTACAAATAATGAACACTTAATAAGTGCGAGGCACAATTTTATGCTTTGAGGATGCAGCAGAGAACCCAAAAGCAAAAGCCTGCCTTATGAAAATTGCATTTCAATAGGGAGAGGCAACAATAAGCAAATTAAATAAGTAAATTGTGTAGTATGATAGAATGTGATAAACGCTGCGGGACCTGGAAAGAGAAACAGAAAAGGTGTAGGAGGCTGCAATTTTAAACAAAGTAATCAGAAGAGGCTTTACAGAGAAAGCAGAATTTGAGCAAAGATTTAAGGAATAAAAAGAATAAGCCCTTCAAATACCTTGGTAGAGAGCACTGAGGTAGAAAGATGAGCATGAGCAAAGGCCCAGAGGTGGGCAGAAGCAGGCTGGCCTATGAGCGGCGGGAAAGGGGATTGTCCAGAGGCAGTGTGGAGGATTCTGTGGGTTCAAAGAGACAAGTGATAAGGCCAAATCTTGAATAAGATGGGAAAGATTTTTGATATGGGGTTTTTTCTTAAGATTTTTTTTTTTTTTTGATGTGGACCATTTCTGAAGTCTATTAAATGTGTTACAACAATTGCTTCTGTTTTAACTTTGGGGTTTGTTTTTGTTTTGTTTTTTTTTTTGCTTAGAGGCATGTGGAGTCTTGGCTCCCCAGCCAGGGAGAGAACACACACGGTCTGCATTGGAAGGCCAAGTCTTAACCAGGGGACTACCAGGGAAGTCTTGATATTTGACATAGATTTTTACATAGTTGAGCAGGCGGAAACATGCTATACTATTACATGTTCCCTTTTCTGCTACAAGTATACACAAAATGTTAGAATTTTTTTCCTTCCTCTCACAGGAGTCGCCAGGAGCTTCAAGAGGCTACCTCTGTGCACTTCATCATATCGACTGAGTCAGTGTCCACGTGACCACATCAGCCAGTCTCGGCCTCCAGAGACCCTTGGCATTCTAAGCGGTGGTAAGTCCCGCCTCTGCGTGTCACTGTCCGGTCCCAGCCTGTGCCCTTGCCCTCACAGCCCAGAAACACCCAGCTGTGAGCGTCTGACTCCCGTCGCCATGCTTTCACATATGAGCCACACGGATGTGGGGGGAAGCCGGAACGCCTGGTCCCTGAGGCCGTGAGCAGGCGTGCGCGGCGTCGGGAGTGGAGATGAGCTGTCTTCACGGTGACCAGGAGCGTAAACCGTCGGCAAACTCGTGTCTCAGGGCACAAATGTCGCAAGCAGACGCCGCACAGAGGACCCTGCTGGCGAGAGAGGCAAGGAGGGCGGCCGGCTGGCCTCGGGCTGGGACCAGCCTCACTTCCCTGCACAGGCGGAGACGCGGGGCTCTCTGGATGCCTGACTTAGAAAGGGTTGCTTTGGCGAAGGTCATGAAGGACTGCGGGGGAATCACTGGAACCAGGATAACGTTCATGGCGTGCGGGGCGGGGATGCAGGAGAGAAGCGTCTGTTTAAGGAGAGTTAGAAGAACAGAGGCGCTCTAGGCATTCAGGAGGAAGAAATACAAATTGGAAGGCCTCAGAAGTTTCCTAAAAGCATCTGCCATCCAGTTTGATAAAGTTTGCGAAGCTCCTATCACAGTCCCAGGCACAACCTAACACCTCAGGCAAGGTGAACGGGTTCTAATGGTCGAGGAGCCGCTAACAGTGTAGCTGCAGAGAACACAGCCTTCGCATCCAGATTGCGCTTTGGTACCAGCTCTGCCACCTACTAGAATCGGGATTCCGCCTCCCCATCAGCAAAACTGAGATTATAATTGTGTTATCTCCTTGGGGATGGATATGCTTAATGAAAACTTACATATAACATTTGGGGGGGGATTTTTTCAACTGAAGTATATTTGATGTACAATATTATATATGCTACAAGTGTACAACATAGTAATTCACAATTTTTAAAGACTATACTCTATTTATAGTTATTATAAAGCACTGGCTACAGCCCTTGTGTTGCACAGTATATTGCTGTAGCTTATTTTGTCCATAGTACTCCGTGCCTCTTAATCCCCTTAAGAATGATTTTACATGTAGCTGTCCAGGTTTCCCAGCACCACTTATTGAAGAGATTGCCTTTTCTTGATGTTTGTTCACTAAGTTGTGTCCAACTCTTCACAACCCCATGTTCTATAGCCCTCCAGGCCCCTCTGTCCATGGGGTTTCCCAAGCAAGATTACTGGGTGGATTTTCGTTTCCTTCTCCAAAGGGTCTTCCCAACATAGGGATCAAACCCATGTCTCCTGCATTGGCAGGTGGATTCTTTACCGTTGTGCCACGTGGGAAGCCCATCTTTTCTCAGTACAAATAAAATAATGTTTGAAAACATAGTACATACTAAATCTTTAATAACTGGTAGCTGTTAGTACTTGTCTAATAAATACCAACCAAACAGGTGAAAAGTCACCTCTGAGATACATGTTCCTTATTTAATGGTGAGCAACACAAGACAGGTGAGAACTGGGAGACCTATGGTGATCTTGAGATCACACATGGGCAAAGAAAGGAATGTGGGAGGAGACAGACATCATCCTGTTTAAGTGATGACCTAATTGAAAGAAAGTGCTTTCTTAGCAAAGCCAGTACTGAGAAAGTATTTAGCAAGTAAGATGTGTCCTCTGCTTCTTCACTTTAATAAAACATGATCATATGTTGGCAGGCCTTTGTTCCTCTCTAAAAGTGCAAAGCCAATGTGATGACCACCACAGATAACAGGGCTAAGAAGCTGGTAGATTACACATCATGGAATGACATCAGATTTTAAATTAGATGACATTTCTCTTTCATTTTGTAACTCCTTTAGGGATGAGGAATCTGAGCATTACTGATGTTGTAGTGAAGCCTGTGGAGAACCTTGGGCAAAGGCTGTGGGTGTGAGGCTTCTGTTCTAATACTTCTGTCCCTCTAGTGCTGAGATCTGCCACGTATTCATCAATTCTGAGGCTCCTTAGTTCCACTCCCTGCTAAAGGGAGATGCTATAGTAACCCCGTTCCCTAATTTGCTCCTCTATTTCCACCCATGCGATCATTCTTCCACCGAGCAGGTATTTTTAAAAGAGTGCCATCTGCTGTAGCAGGCAATTCTGCAGGTAAAATGAAAGTGTCAGCCACTCAGTCCTGTCCAACTCTTTGCCACCCTATGGACTGTAGCCCACCAGGCTCCCCTGTCCATGGAGTTCTCCAGACAAGAATACTGGAGTGGGTTGCCATTCCCTTCCCAACCCAGAGATTAAACTCAGATCTCCTGCATTGCAGGTGGATTCTTTACTATCTGAGCCATCAGGGAACCCCCTGCAGGTAAAACATGGCTCTAAATTTGAGTTTTGTAGCCTTTGTGCAAAGGTTAAAATATTGTCCAAAAGCTGAATGGAAAACTGGTGTAAAATTCAAAAGAGATAAAGTCCCATTCAGGCAATGAGGATGAGAAGAGGCCCTATGGTGAGTGATGGTTCTTGAATGAAGTACTGGCAGCAAGATGTTGGGATTTCCCTGGTGGCTCAGGTAGTAAAGAATTTGCCTGCAATACAGGAGAGCCAGGTTCAATCCCTGGGTTGGGAAGATCCCCTGGAGGAGGGAATGGCTATCTACTCCAGTGTGCTTGCCTGGAGAAGAGCCTGGCGGGATACAATCCATGGGGTCGCAAAAGAGTCAGACAGGACTGAGTGACTAACACTGCTACTTTTAGCAAAATGTTAACTTCTGAAATGGGAAAGAATGTTTCCAGCAAGGTTACAGAAGCACTAGCGCAGGGTGCTTCTTTAAGAACCATCAGTGGTCTTGCTTGACTTTTCATCCCTGATGCAATACAAAGTGCAACAGAAGGGAAGGATGTACATAAACTGAGAACCCAAGAAAGCACAATCTTCAGAAATCCTGGGTTGCTATCTTGAAGACATATTTGTCAGGGCAAGTAGAAATGACTGATTTCTTATTCAGAATAACTGTTGCTTTCCCTAAGTCACCTAATGGAGAGAACATTCAAGGATAGGTTCGTATGAAGAATTCTTACCCCGAGTAACAATCCTGATGCCTACCAAGGTCATCTGAGCAATATTGACTGCTCCTTTTTTCTTTCTCCGTGGCATGGGTATAGCTTGTCAGATGCAATCATGGAGTAAGTGAATCTTGTGCTGCCCTTGCTCCATGTGGGGCGTGGCCTTAGGTGAAAGCCTGTGTAGGTCCCATAGAAGCCTGCTTTCCTAGGGAATCAACACACAGTTCTCAGGTTACTTCAGGTAAATGCCCAGCCATAACTTAGTTTTTGCTTCACATGGAGACTCCTCCCTCCCCCACTGGAGGCCTGCCTGGAGGTGGAGGCTGCAGGTTGGTCCATGAGGAGCACATCACCCTTTTCTTTCTTATCCAGAGCTTCTCTTCCTCCCCCAAAGCCATGTTGACCCTGTGTGAGGCCCTCCTAGGAAGATCTTACCAGACCGGTCCTGTTGTGGAGGTATCACAGAGCTCTCTGGACCTGGCAGGGCTTTATACCTGGCTCTTTCTGTAACAGGCTCTGAGAACAGCTGCCAAGTAATGCCCTTGCTGTGGATGACAACATCTGTATGCCCACTGGTTGTGTTTGTTCCAGTGACCTCAATCTATCCCATCTTATTATACAGAGAGGATAGACAATCTCATATTTTCCAGGAACTTAAGCCAGGACACTCATTCTTTCTTCATTAAATATCACAATGGCTTTAACAACTTTACAGATGTCCGCTATGCTGAGAGTTTTTCAATAGTGCATGTTGGATTTTGCCAAACTCTGTCTCTGCTTCTGTTGATATAACCAAATGGTTTTTCTTTTTAATGTGTGTGTTTATGTATATATATATATATATATATACATATATATATATATATATGTAATAAATTACAGTGATTGCTTTTTTGTTGAGGAGAGATTCCTATTATGTACAATATAGCTACCATATGATCCTGCAATCCCATTCCTGTGCATAAATCTGTAGAAAAAACATGGTCCAAAAGGGCATATACACACCAATGTTCATTGCAACACTGTTTACAATGGCCAGGAGGTGAAAGCAACCTAGATGTCCATTGACAGATGAATGGGTAAAGAAGATGAGGTGCATATATATAATGCAATATTACCCAGTCATTAAAAAGAGTTAAATAGTGCCATTTTCAGCAACATGGATAGACCTAGGGATTGTCATATTATGTGAAGTAGTCAGACAGAAAGAAGAAATATTGTATGGCATACCTTATATAAGAAATGATACAAATAAACTTATTTACAAAGCAGATACAAACTCACAGACTTAGAAAATGAATGTATGGTTGCTAGAGGGGAAGGATGGGGGAAAGGATAGTTCGTATGTTTGAGATCAACATGTATACACTGCTGTATTTAAAATAGATAACCAACAGGGACCTATTGTCAGTCTCTCCCATCAGGAAGCTTCCATAAGCCTCTTATCCTTATCAGTCAGAGGAGGGACAGAATGAAAACCACAATCACAGAAAACTAACCAAACTGACCACATGGACCACAGCCTTGTCTAACTCAATGAAACTATTAGCCATGCTATGTAGGGCCACCCAAGACAGACAAATCATGGTGGAGAATTCTGACAAAACGTGGTCCACTGGAGAAGGGAATGGCAAATCATGTCAGTATTCTTGCCTTGAGAACCCCATGAACAGTATGAAAAGGAAAAAAGATAGGACACTGAAAGATGAAGTCCCCAGGTCAGTAGGTGCCCAATATGCTACTGGAGAAGAGTGGAGAAATAACTCCAGAAAGAATGAAGAGAGCCAAAGCAAAAAAAAAGCAAAAACAAAAACAAAAACCCAGCTGTGGATGTGACTGGCGATGGAAGTAAAGTTCAATGCTGTAAAGAACAATATTGCATTGGAACCTGGAATGTTAGGTCCATGAATCAAGGCAAATTGGAAGTGGTCAAACAGGAGATGGCAAGAGTGAACATTAACATTTTAGGAATCAGCGAACTAAAATGGACTGGAATGGATTAATGTAACTCAGACAACCATTATATCTATGACTGTGGGCAGGAATCCCTTAGAAGAAATGGAGTAGCCCTCATAGTCAACAAAAGTCCAAAATACAGTACTTGGGTGCAATCTCAAAAAGGACAGAATGATCTCTGTTCATTTTCAAGGCAAGCCATCCAATATCACAGTAATCCAAGTCTATGCCCCAACAAGTAATGCTGAAGAAGCTGAAATTGAATGGTTCTATGAAGACCTACAAGATCTTCGAGAACTAACACCCAAAAAAGATGTCCTTTTCATCTAGGGATCTGGAATGCCAAAGTAGGAAGTCAAGAGATACCTGGAGTAGTGGGCAAATTTGGCCTTGGAGTACAAAATGAAGCAGGGCAAAGGCTAATAGAGTTTTGACAAGAGAACACACTGGTCATAGCAAACACCCTCTTCC